TCTCTGTGTTTACTTGGTTGGGTCTGAGCGGCTGTGGGACTGGCGGGTGACAAAGATTTGTCCTGACTGTGGGCAAGGCGGAAAACTCTAGCAACACTATGCCATCAAATTCTGCACTGCAATCATTTAAAAATAAAGTTTAAGAAGAAATATTGCAGCAAAAATATTGGAACCAGTCCAATGTCTTCCTACAAGGGACTGATTGAATAAACTATATTATATCTACATATTATATACAACCTTAATAAGGTGATGGATATGCCAGCTGGCCTGATCTGATCATTGTATACATGTATTGAAATGCCACAATATGTTCCATAATATAAATAACTATTATGTTAATTAAATATGTATTTAGACATAAAATAAGAAATATATGTGTAAGACTAATGTGAATTAGTGAAAAAGTGTGGTTCAGAGCACTGGATAGAATATGCCAGCTAGAACACGAGGACGAAAAGGAAGCAAGAATGAATTACATACCTGAGGCTCTGGATGAATTGGAATGGGAGTTAAAGTCTGAAGGAGACTCCCATACAGCGGGGGCTTCCTCCTGGAGCTCAGATTAGACACAAACCATACCCAATCACTTGTTCTTATAGAGAGATCCTTTATTAAGTGGGGAAGAAAAGTTACAGTGGCTGCTTCCTGATTCAGGCAGAAAACAGTAGCAAATGACCTTGCAGGTGGAATTTTTAAGAGGAGGTCTGTGTTAGAATGGGCTATGATGTGGTGGTAAAGGAGATTGGCAAGAGGGGGAAGGGGAAGAAGGGAAGGGGGAAGGGTTACTTGTTCCAGAGGGACAAAGGACTGTCTCTGGATAGAGGGGAGACAGATGCGGCACATAGGCAAATGGCAGTTTATAAAAGTATAAAGGGGGAAACCCTGTGTTAGGATGAAGTGTTTAAACTTAATTGGGCATGTTAATTAGATGAGCCAAAGGGGGCTTTTGGTTGCTGGACTTTGGTAGTCAGCCTCAAGAGGAGGAACTGGCAAATAATGGAATAAGCCTTGATGGCTAGCTTTAGGAATGTAATCTAATGGGTTTTAGGAAAGCAGAGAAAATGAGGGAGAAGAGCAAGGGCTGCCAGAGCCACATGTATAAGTAGGGAATTGTTAAAAAACCTCTGTGCTTAAGAGAACTATAAAGCAAAACAAGCTTGCCTTCTAAGAGAGTACTTTCTCCTTGCACCTAGACCAGTGGTTAAAGCTGTGGGTCATGACCCCATTAGGGAGCCAACTGGTCCTCTCACAGGGGTTGCATATCAGACATCCTGCATATCAAATATTTACATTACAATTTATAATTTTTATTTTATTTCATACGTATTTTTGTATGTGTTTTGCCTGCATGCATGCCTGTGTGAAGGTGTTGGATTCCCTGAAACTGGAGTTATAGGCAATTGTGAGCTGCCATGTGGGTGCTGGGAATTGAACCCAGCTCCTCTGAAAGAGCAACCAGTGCTTTTAACTGCTGAGCCATCTCTCCAGCCCCACATTACAATTCATAACAGTAGCAAAATTGCAGTCATGAAGTAGCAACAAAAATAATGTTATGGTTGGGGGTCACCACAACATGAGGAACTGTATTAAAGGACTACAGCATTAGGAAGGTTGATAACCTCTGACATAGACGGAATGTAATTTTGTGTTCTTTGACTTCATAAACCCCTGACTGAAGTGGTTGGGTGCTGTATTCTGGAATCCTGGAGTAGATCTGGTGCCAATATCTGAATAAAAGTCTCTTCTTTGTTAAAATTATTATGGTCAGACTGGTGAATCTCTGAACAATCCTGAACCCATAACATCTGGGGGCTCAGCTGGGATTTGGGCATTTAGCCAGATCCACCTTCTTTTTTTGACTGGCCTTGGGACCCTGGAGAAATCAGATAGGCTCAGCATTGGGATGGAGCCATCATCTTCAATGCCTAGACTTCACAAAAGACCTTGAATCCCTGAGAGTTGCTGGTGTACTGGGTGCCAGGAAATCAGGTTGGCCCAGGGTTTGGAGGGAGCCACTAGCACATTCTCAACACTTAAGATTGTGAGACAAGGGATCATTAGAAAACCTCCAGAAGTACAGGTAAGGACCCTGCCTATAGTGCGCATTTGTGAGACTTGTGGAAGATCTGGATGCTTCACTGGTTCGTGAGTAGGAAAGATCACCAGGATACTGCCATCCCTCATTTGGTTTTGGTTTGTCTGGGTGGCCACCAAATTGTAGAATTTTGTCTGTTTTGTGTTGCTTGGATTGTTTGTGGTGTTGCATCTTCTTTCTAAAAAATGTTTCTTATCTCTACGGCTTATTTGTTCTCAGATTGCTCTGTTCCATCCCCCTGGTCACTAGATTCAGTTGTACAAGGATTTAGGTGTTTTTTAGGTATGGGTGACATTAAATTTTTGTTTGATACTGTTCTACTTCATTGAGAAGCTGGTTTTTGAGTTGCTTATGGCTCCCTGTCCTCTAGAGCCAAGCCTGCTTGTTTAAAGGTTTCCTTCAAAATCTCTGTCCCATGTCAGTCAGGCCACATGATGATGTGACAGAGAAAGGAGAGCAAAACAAGCCAAAAGGCTCGACTATTCCCAATGGGGATTAGTGCTACTCATCTCACATTCTTTTTGGTTTTGGTTTAACGCTAAAGCTTTTGCTAAAGTATGACTTTTATCCAAATATTTGTAAAGTTATCATGTAAACTTTCTGTACCTCAAGATTTGTAAGTTTATTGAGTGTGGTTAAAGATCTGCAAAATCTGTAACAAAAAGTTAACTTAAAAATTATGGCATGAGGGTTGATGCTTGAATACATAGGTAATCTTAATTTACTACAGCATACTATATGTGTAGCTTGGATCCAACTCTTGTTTAAAAGAAATAGATGTTTTAAAAATAACAGTGGATTTATATCTTAGGGTTTCTATTGCTGTGAAGAGACACCATGACCATGGCAACTCTTATAAAGGAAATCATTAATTTGGGGTGGCTTATAGCTTCAGAGGTTTAATCCATTATTGTCAGGTCAGGAAGCATGGCAGCATGCAAGGAGACATGATGCTGAAGAAGTAGCTGAGATTTCTACATCTTGAGCTGTAGGCAACAGGAAATGAACTGTTACACTGGGTATGGCTTGAGCATGTATGACGTCAAAGCTCACCCCCCTAGTGACACACTTCCTCCAACCAGGCCACACCTTTTCCAACAAAGCCATATCTCCTAATAATGCCAATCCTATAGGCCTAGCATTCAAACACACGAGTCTGTGGGGGCATACCTATTCAAACCACCACAGTTTCCAAGATATTTTGGATTGGGATGGATTTTTGTGTGGTGATTCTTGTCCTGAGAATAAGAATAACAGATGAGAAAAACATTTTGGAAGTAATACTGAAAAGGCTATGATGATTAAAATTTTGATAATTTTTATTTATCAACCAATGAAACATAAATGAGGTTTTGTTTACTGTGTTCAGTAACTCTTTGATTTTTTAAAATATTGTAACAATCTTCTGGATGTCAACTTCATCTCAGATTGATGTCTTGTGTTAAGCCAAATGTTTGTCTGTAAATGTTTTCAAAATTAATTGAGTCTGTAAATGTCAGTGGTTTTATATGTACAAAAATTCTTCTAGTAATTTTGCCAATTTTAGTTTTCACTTTAACTGGAGGGCAATGGCCAGATACACATCTGACCTAATAGAATACATCAGCTCAGGACCCAGAGAACTAAGTCTGAGAGATCCGTTTAATAGAGCCAAGACAAAGAATGCTGCCAGAAGCAGGACCAAGTAGGAAAGCTTCAGAAAAGAAGCTACCTCAAAAAACAACAACAAAAAACAAAACAAAACAAAAACAGCCCAGTTTACCTCCTGACTTAGGGCTGCTTGCCTCTGGCCAGAGTTTGCTGTCAACCTGATAGTAATTATCAAGGACTGGCATATTATTTGGACCTTCTGATTAAAAGCATGACTTAAAATACTGGATCATCTCAGCCAGTTGCCTTGAAGCTTTTCTGGATGTTGGATCATCTGGAGACCTCTCAGGGTGAAACCATATTAAGCTGGAAGGAATTCATAGCTTCCTATTTTCTGTGGAAACCAAAGCAGAATCTCTTTTCCAAAGCAACATATCCTTAGACTCAAATTTTGAAGTCAAAATACCTTTAAGTATATATGTTGGTTTAATTTAGTAACCCGTACAATCAAATGTTGTTCTGCAGTTAAAAATCCCAAAATACACCAAAAATGCAGTATCCAGACTCTTTGTGTAATTTTCATCTTTATGTGGCTTACTGTATTTTTATATTACTTTTACTCTCTCTTTAAAAGCTTTATTTATTAAAACTACTTAGTTCTTTATATAACTGTCTATATTCTTTTTCCTCTCTCTTCCAAGCCTATGTACACATACTATAAACTGTTTAGAGTTTTATGCCATCTGAATCTGCCTTATTGTGAATCTGTAGTCCTTTTCTGATCAGGAGAGATTTTAAACTGTTAAGCTGTGTGGCTAGAATGAAAGCGGCAGCCTTGGCTGCTGACTCTGCCCCTCTCGGCTTTTTAAAATGGAGTAGATATGCTCACCGCCAACTCTGAGAATCATTGAGTCTATGCCTCCATCAAGCAGCCTCTGGCCCAGAAACCCTTTTTGTTGTACTAACAAAAGCTAAATCCACCATGCAGTGGGCTGTGTGGCTTGGAGATGCCTCTGTGTACCATGGCGGGATTCTGCCATGCTGTGCTCAAGCTTGAATGCCACAGCGCCTCTGTACCAAGGCCTGCCTGAGAGACATGAACTAGGAAGCTGTTCTTAGCTACATTTATAATCTCTTCTTGAGCTCTCTCAGGTTTCAGGTGGAAACTCTTGCCACCATGTCTGAGCGCCAATTGTAGCCAGAAGTTTCTCTGGTCCCACCTGGCACCGTGGTCCAGACGAATCTTTCCCACTTGCGGTCCCACAGCTGCTTATAAAATAATGACTCAGCAACTTAATGTTAATTACAAACTGCATGGCCTATGGCTCAGGCTTCTTGCTAGCTAGCTCTTATAACTTAACTCAACCCAGTTCTATTAATCTATGCAATGGTGCATGTTGTTCCTTGGACAGCAGGCTGGCATTTTCCCTGACTCTGTCCTTCTCTCTATATATCTCTATTTGGATTTCCCACCTGCCCCTAAGCTGCCTTGCATTAGGCCAAAACTGCTTTGTTTATTAGCCAGTGGGAGCAACACATATATTCACAGCACACAGGAAGACATCTCACAGCACCACTGTTTATAACCTGTACAGTAATCCACACTTAAAGAAAAAAAATCAATAGACCCATGACTTTGAATCATAGTAAAAAGCTTTGGGATTCCTAAAATGATTTAAGAGTTAAAAACATTAACACATTTTTTTTTCTCCACCAGTCCAGAGTCCCTCAGTGCACCTGGGTCAGGCATGCTCAGAGCCTCTGCTGGCTCCTGTCATGCTGCAGTCTCCCTGCCTGGCCTGGAACTTGCTGTGTCTGGGTCCCACGGTGCTCACAGCCTGCCTAAGCTGAGTTCCCATGGCAGCCCCCTGGGCCACTCCAGCTGACACCCACACCATGCCTCGCCACCAAGTTTCCACCCTGTGGCTCTCCATTCAGGGGCCTGGTCTCAAACCTGCCATGTCTGCCACCTGCCAGACATGCCACACCACAACAGTGCACTCCCCTACCCGCCGCTGCCTGTGCTCCCGGTCAGAGAGCAAGGAGGCAATGGGATAGGAGTACTCTTATTCTGTCCCAGTTCAACCAAAGGGGCCCCTGTCCCTTCTGCTGGCCCTTCAGCCCCAAAGGCTGTCCATGTACAGTTTCTATCAGGAGTCACAGTGCACACACAAGCCCAGGCATGAAACATGCATACTTGTGGCCACATTTTTCACACATTCACACTTTCATAGAGGCAGGACATTCCAACAGAAAGGCAATCAATTTTCTCAGGGAAATAGCTGATCAACACAAATACAGAAAAACACAGACACCACATCTGAGGCTCTCTGTCCTCAATCAAACAGATGTGGGATTCTCTACCCCCCATTCTTCCAGACCCTTGTGATCATGGTCCTCCAGCGCTTCTGTCCTTAACCATTCCTGACCACAATCACCGACTTATGCATGCCACAGAAATAAAACT